CACCCTGAAAACCCAACTTCAATACATCACTTCCCTAACCTCAGATGCCCTTTCGAAGATCCTCCTTGGAGACATGCACTTGTGATTCCCACTTGTAAAATGCCACTTGATGGAAGGCCTCTATAGGTAACAATCACACACATCCTGCCATCTGAAGTAGACAGTAAACACTTGGATCGAGGAGGCAGCTGCATTCAGCAGAACTCTCAAGTGGGCAGTGGGTGAGCACAGCACGGGCAGAAGGGTGGATGTGGCCCTCTGCTCCCAGGCCTGCTGGGAGACAGGAGCTGCCACCAACCACCCCACGGCACAGCCCCTCCTGGCCTCTTGGCCACAACACAATCTGATCAGCAGCCTGCTAGCTTTTTTGCATTCTCCTCTAGCCATCTAGAAGTGGACAGATGCCCTAGTCCTAAGGGTTAAAAAGGGGATTCCATCTTGCCTGTTGTTCCAAGGAATGGCAGTACATGTTTAGACAAGATGGGGGAAGTCCTTGGCAACAACTGTCCAAAGAAGGTTGATTTCACCAGGGCAGAAGCCAGTAGTTAGGCTCAGTGTGGTGTCACATGCCTATAATTCCAGCTTCTTGGGGGGCTGAGACGGAAGAGTCACAATTTTTTTTTGTAGGCTCAATCCCCAGTACCACGAAAAAGAGGGAGGAGTGTCAAAACAAAAAAAAACAGTGCTTTTATACAGAACACTTCAAACATTTCCAATTAGATTTCATGGCCCACAACTGCATCTTAAAGTTCAATACGACACAAGGGTTTTTTTGTTGTTGCTTTTGGGGGTTTTTTCCCCCCTAAATATAACATTGTAAACGTGACGGTGTTCTAAGAATTCCAGCTTGTTTTTCAGGACTTTTGCAATAGGCTTGAGATCCTTGATAGAAGCCTCCCTATGGCAATGTTTTCTTTCTATTGTTACTTTCTTACTTTTTAAGCAGTAAGAGGATGGCAAAACAGAGGAGAGTAGCAAAATATGAAGACTGCGAAGTTGGAGAATGAAATTCAGTGTTGAGGTCAAATAAAAACTACTCCAGAATGAATGAGACACACCCAGTGGCACGTCATGGACACTGCTGGAACAGTCACGGGGTGAGAGCATGTAGATCACTAAGGCCTCCACTGTTGTGTGACCTGTCCCCACCCACTCCTGTCTTTTTCAGGCTGTGCACCTTTATCAGCTCACCACCTCCTACCAGTCCTCCCAAGTTCCTCCCTGCCCCATCTGGACTTCACTGGTCTCCATCTCTTCTGTCCCCCAGCACCCAGGGCACAGCTTTGTGCCACTCCTGGAGCCTCCTGGAAGACCATATACAGTGCTGGGTCCCTCACAGTCACTCAGGCATCATCACAACACGAGAGGTATCACTGTCATCGTCATCATTGTCATGATCATCAAAGATGGCTGCAGTTGGAACCCCTTGACAAATCTTCACGGTTCCCCAAGGCCTGCCCTCCTACAAACCTGTGAAGTGGGGGTGAAGGGGTACTTAGCCACAAGATTAACCCAGCACATCTGCCCAGACCATCTGTTCTCTGAAAACGTTCTTAGGTAATAATTCATTAAGGTTTTCTGCCAACTAGAGAAACAGACATTAAACTTGTTTTTTCATTTTGTTTTGGAGTACCAGGGATCCGATAGAGGGCCTCACAGCAGGCAAGTGCTCTAGCATGGAGCTGTATTCCCCCACAGACTTCTTTAGATTTTATTTTGAGCAGGGTCTCACTAAATCGCCTAAAGTGGCCTCAAACTTGGATCCTCCTGCCTCAGCCTCCCGAGTCCCTGGGATTACAGGCACGAACCATTGCACCCAGTTGCCATTAAAGTTTTAAAACAAGAATGCACTTCAACTGATTATAAGCCTCTTGCCTAGAACACAGGCCCTCAGCTGAAAGGGAGAGAGACAGGAAGAAGGAGGCTGGAAAGGTGAATGATGGAAGCCTCCCCTAGAAGCCCTCCACGTAACTCCCCTCTTCTGCAGCTGCCCTGAAGACCCAGCAGCCAAAAGCAAGCTTGCTGGACCCTCCCCTCTGCATTCCAGACCAGATTCCTTTCAAGGGACTCACCCAAATTTGGAGTTCTCACAGGCTGGTAAATGTGGGGAGCTTATTTGCAAGCCAGGATCATATCTGCCTAGCAACCCAGCCCAAATACTTGGGGGACTAAACGTGGATCAAGGACAAGCCAGCCAACTTTGCACAAAGCAATCCCTTCTCATGCAAATGACCCTAAGCAAGAGAACTAGAAAAGACAGAGCTCTAGACATCTGGGGAGCCAGTTTTTCCCTAAAAGATGCTGAGGACCATTAAGGGGACCATTACAGCCTTGCCTTCGGTCAAGGAAGGGCCAGAGGGGGCTCTGCCTGCCAACTGGGCCCCATCAGACCTATAGAAGAGGCCAAGAGGTGGCAGAACCCTGTACTGAATTTCCTGACTTTTCTGATCCTGTACTCCAGATTCTAAAGGTTCTTTTGTTCTTATTTAGAACCAAACAGAGTTAATTTTGTTGTGTGTGTGTGGGGGGGGGTGATTAGCATGGTAATGCAGTACTTTCCCTGGAGAAGTGAAAGTTGCTCTCACTAGGGAAGGAGGTGAAGCCAGTCTCTAACCAGGGTGGGCAAAAGTCACCTCCCTGTGGCTAGAAGGCTGGGCCGAGGCTGGGTTCCATTATCCAAAGCCAGGGTTGCAGTGTGTCTACAGACGTGGGGTAATCTGGGTGAATCCTCCAGTGCTGGGCCTCCACTTTCCTCAGCTGTAAAATGTAGACAGTGAGTATTAAGTGCGCAAGGTTGCTGATGGGGTCAAAAGTCGCATAGATGGCACTTACCACAATGTTGGAGACAAAGAAAACATGAAAAAATTAATTGTAATCTATGCTAACAAAAAGTAAGAGTAATATACATTAGTAGGGTTAATATGATATTATTATAATCAAGCACCCTTCCAGCCAGATTTCACTTGATCAGATATGGACACATGAGTTTCCCAATACTAAAACATAAGGCCCTAAATATCAAAGATTATGCTTTCAGGACCTTCAGTTTTTACACTGAGTGTATCATTTTAATGATTAAAATCTGCATTCTTCCTTTTTTTTTGAGACAGGGTCTCCCTATGTAGCCCAGGCTGGCCTCAACTCCTGGCGATCCTCCTGCGTCAGCCTCTAGTGCTGGGATCTCAGGCATGTGCCACCATTCGCAGCTATAATCCGTTTCTTAATATCTCCACGTATGGATTTTCGGAAGAACAAGTCAAAAAGACTCTCCCAGGGTATATGTTGCAGCCCTAATAATAACAACAAGAACTGATCCGTGGCTAGGACTTAACCTTATGCCAATCACTATGATGTACACTTTACTGGCATTATAAAATACCCTCTGGGAATTCCTCCCTTATTCCCATTTCACAGATTTGGAGTTCAACCCTCTCCAAAATTAAATTACTCCTTCACAATTGCAAAACTACTTAGCAGCACTCTGGATACACAACTCTGGCCATAACCAGGGACTGCACCAACGCCCCAGCTCCCCACTTAACCACACCGGAGCTCATTAACGGCGAAGAATGGCGTTTAATCCAGCAAACCGGATCCCCAAACCGTGAAGGGACTCAACGACCAAGGACCGAGTTTTATTACAATTCAGATCTCCGGCTCCTCCCGGCGGCGCCCTCTCTGCGCACATTCCCAAACTAGGCTCTCTTAAGTTTCTGACATTAGTGCCACACTCTCTGAAACAATTCCATTCAAGGGAACGACCGGGTACCAAAGTCCGAAGGACAACGCGAAGAATATGGCCTTTGCTCCGGAGCGCTCCAATTTGCCCCAGGGTTGAGATGTGGGGAACCAGAAGTCAAGTTTGCGCCGTCGGGCTCGGAAATGCCTGAGATCCTGACCCAAGATCTGTTCCTGAGGAATTCATAACTCAGGGTTCCCGTGCATCATCAGCGTACTTCAGGGTGGCCTTAAGGTCAGAGACTTGGAAGTGAGGAGCACCCGCCCCTTAAGCCGGCAGGTGCCCCCCGGAGGGGTCCCCGAGCAGGCAGCCCGCACCTGTGCACACGTCGCCTCGCGCGCGCGCGCGGGGAGGAGCGGTGCGCGCCGCGGGACGCGGATGCTGACTCAGCCCGGCCGAGCACATCCCTCCCGCGCAGCGCGGATGCTGTGGCCGCTGCCGCTGCAGCAAAAGAGGAGGAGGAAGCCAGGCACCCGAAACAGTCGGCGGCTGGCTCCCCGGGGCCCACTGCGGCACTGTCTCCCCACCCCGGAAGGGGAACTGTGGGGGACGCGAGTTGACGAAATTGGGGGAAGTGGGCGCTGAAGCCGGAACCCGGGCGCCGCGCGCGCAGCTCACACCCAAACTGGAAGGAACCTGTTCTGCCCGGGGCGAGCGCGAGCCGCCGCAGCCACCAGCGCCGCGCGCGCCCGCCTCCCCGCTACTCCCCAAATCCTCAGGCCGCAGGCGAGGCCGGGGGTGGGCGCGGACGGCGGGGGCTCCTCCTGGAAGGGAAGCGGCCAGCCGGGCGCCCTGCACGCTCACGCTCCCACTTGCACTGCGGCAAAGTGCTGGGGTCTGTCCGGACCAGGCGCTCACACGAGCCCCCGGGTGGAGGGGCGGGGAACTCCGGCCGAAGACCCCGGCGGCACTGGCGGAGGCGGCCGTTTCGGGAGCCCCAAGCCCAGGCGGCCGGCGGGCGGGGCGCGCGCCCAGCGCGGCCCCGGTCCACGTGGGCCGGCGCGCGCG